TTTATATACAAACAAAATTACTAAAAAAAATAAAAATAATAATAATTATGATTCGAGATGCCAATATTTTGGTTTACTGGTTGACAAAGCATACTAAATCAATTGCTGAATTATAATCATAAATAACTGAATCGATTAAATAGCCAAAAAAGGAAAAATTAGAAAAAACGTTCTCTTAATTCTATGAATTATTTAAATTGCCAATATTTAAGAATATATGAATATAAACATAGAGAGAAACGAAAAAATCGTTCATGTTTCCTTATAAAAATAACAAACAAAATTCCTGTATGAAAAATGAAATTTACATGAAAAACTAACTGCGTTCTCAAAAAGTTCTTGAGCGTCGAACAAAATCGAAGGAATTAATTCCTTTGAATGCGTTTCTTCCGAGCACTGTTGTATAATGTACCTACATGTACCTACATGAATACCAATATATTTGAGAGAAAAATAATTTTCCTTAACCCAGTGTGATGGAGATCATTTTAATTTATACCTGCATACCCATGAAATATGAAATTATTAACTTTTGAATATTTTTTTACCCGTAGATCACAAAATATAAATTTGAAAACTGTCTAGATACACACGTCTCGACACCTCTCGTAACAAAATAATTACAATATTAATCCACTTATAATAATATACCGTTTACATCAGACAGATCTTAAATAACGACACGCATATCTAACGAAGGCTTTGGTAATGGACTCGTGATCCGATACGTGGGGAATCTCAATCCACCCCAACACCATCACAGACAGTTTACTAACCACTATAGTAATATACACGTAATAGTTGTAGGTTTTCGGACGAGATGAGTGCAACAGATTCCTCGACAGGTATGTTTTCTTTTTTTTATGGTCGGTCTTCAAATTCTAGAATTAAAAAATATATTTTAAGTGTATATCGTGTGTGGCCATCGGGCAGTTTAACTAGGTGTATTATAATATTTATGAAATTCGATATTTCAACAAACAAGCGTACCTACTTACACATTATCGGTGTTCCAAGAAAAGAGGTACTCAAATATATTCAGAGAAAAGACTAATACTCGGAGTTTTATAATTATGCATTGCACACGAATTATAATTTAAAATAATATGATAAATAGCCCCCTGTAAAACGATTCAAGTTTCATCAATCATCCTGCAAGCTAAAACGTAACGGTATAATGCATAAGTTCCCGTTATTTATTTCTCGTAAATTATGTTATTCGATTTATATTCGTGTAACGTGCAACATCATAATGATGGTAAATGACTAATTCAATTAATACTTTCGATGATGGTATTACAAGAAAGCTTTGGGACTTGACCAATAATCCATTATCCGCGGACTTATTTATTAATTTATAAATAGTGGTATCGCTAATTGCTGTTCGCATAAGACGAACTAGAGATGAATTTTAGAGGAAATTTGAAGTGGAGCTATTAGTATCGAAAAGGATGGAGTGGCGAGTGGTGCGAGCAGGGACTCTGTGCAAGGGATAGGAGTGAAGAATGAGAATCTCTATTTTTCCGGACAGAAAGGATAGGTGAGCGGTAAGTCGACGACCAGTTTGGGAAGATATGTTAAGGGCACGTAGGACAAGAGTGTAAACATGGTATATGGCCGATATCATAATATGATTATATATATATGGATTAAGAAATTCTTTGCTATTACAGTTGTACGAAAATATTGAATGATATGTATGATATTACATTTATAATACTATCATTGTCTGTTCGCTGCAGTGTTATGACGGCGAAACAATTATAGTACCTACTCATATTTATCTAGGCAAAATATGGGATTACAATTTTTCGATTTTTCACCGATTTTAATCGAACACGAGCAGGGCCGGCGCTACACTGGGGCCAGATTAGGCCAGGCCAGGGTGGGCAAATGCCCCTCCTATAATTTAATGTTGAACATTTTAATCTAAAATGCATTTTATATTGATTATTGAGCATTTTAGATATAGTTGTAAATAAATTTGATGTGATTCATAAAAATAAAAAAATAATACTATCCTAATAATTTGTAATTATTTATATCTATTAATTTAATACTAATAACTAACGGTATGTTGATATTTAGATATAGTATAATAATAAAATGAAATGAGTAATGCTAACATAATAAATTTCATTTATTGATTTTTATTTTAATAGGTAATACCAATATGTTGCTATTTAGATACTTAAAAATTCTTCTCTTTATTTGTATAATTGCAATGAACATAAAATATGAATGTGCATATAACACATTTTATATAATATAAGTCATATAACCTTATTAACTACAAGTTTATATAAATCATATTATAAGTACTTTGGGTTATACCTTATACCTACTTTGGTTCCAATATGTTAAAAATATGTAAGTAAACAGAAATTGTATTAATTAATTATTTAATTATTATTTTTTTTTTTTTTGGATTATTTAATATAATATAAGCAAATTAGCGGATGATCGAGTAGCGATACATAAATGCCGCCCCAGAAAATAATTTGCCCCCGTATCACCCCCCAATAAAAAATATCTGGCGCCGCCACTGAAAACGAATCTGAATAGGATTTTTTTATTGAAAATCAGCCGAACTAAACTGAACACGTACATGCACGCCATTAATAATATAATTCCATGGTTGTCTACATCAGCGTTTCTCAACCTGGGGGGTCACAAACCCCTAGATAAGGGGTCGCATCGTTCAAAAATCATTTAACGCCGATGTAAAAAAAACTACCTTTTATTTACATCAAAAATAAATAAATAATACATAACCGTAATGATAAAAATAAAAAGTTAGTTTACACTATAAACCATAAATAATTAAGTAAAAATTATAAACTAATGTGATACCTATTTGTGATCGTTTTATAATTAACATTTTTTTTAATCGGGGTTCGACTTTGAAAACACATTAAAAGTAAATTATTTTCTAATGATAACGGACGATTTCTGTATTTAGTTTTTAATACCACCACGGAAAAGAAGTAATTTTTCACGCAGATTTGAAGTGGCGAACGGAACCAATGTTTTCAATGTATTTTACATTTCGATCTTTAAAAATACATTTGCAATTCATAAACTCGTGTTTTTGTTTCGGTTAATGATAAAACGTTATTTATGACTGGTAAAACAAATAAAAGCTTATATTATTTTATATTATAAAGGGGGGGGGGGGGGGGGAGAACAATGATTTTATTTTACCCATTTTGGGAGTTGCGGTGTTAAAAAGATTGAGAAACGCTGATCTACATCACTAAGTTTAGCCATATTTTATCGAATCAACTGTTATACAGGTATTCTGACGCATGTTTCCTGAGAATAAAATAACGAGAAACGATTTTGACGGAGGCGCCATAGCCGGTAATTATTATATGCCGCGAGTCATAGGCGCAACTAGTGGCGGGAGAGTGGGCTTAGATGTACGGAAATATTTCCATAGCCCTCCCAAATGAAAAATAATGGGCCTCGGATTTTTTTTTTGTGAAACAACCGTTGAGGCACATTGCGGTAGCGGCGTAGCCATAAATGTTATGCATTTTAAGAGGGTTTTTAATTTTAAATTCTCTCCTCCATAAGTACTAACCTTTTATTTTCAATAAGAGGGTTAAATGTAAGTTAAAATATAATATTAGTAATTATTTAGTTTATTGAAACTGAAAATTGTTTAATGATGATATATTATTATACCTATATCTTAAAATCATTGTATATATTACAAAATAAGACATTTTGGAGTGGGGGGAGGTTATGACCCGTTAAGCACCCCAGGCTACTCCACTGTGGTAATCAGTTTTATCAATAATTATTACTAAACACTATATCTACTTAGTGTAACAATGACTCAGTGTTAACGTTCATTTCAAACATACCAAACCAATTACCAATAAGTGACCAAGTCACGTTCCTCCACCCTAGTGTTCAGCAGCAACTGTTTCTGGAAAACATGGTTCGTTACTCCACAGAATCGACATAGTTATTTCGAAATGGGGAACGAATAGGTTTATAGCACAATAGTAAAACTGTAAGCAGATTTGAAGGAGGATGTAGGTATGATGATCCAACTTAGATTTAGATAAGAACTTAACATTAGATTTTTTCACTTCCTATTGTTTTCATCTCGGCCTTTGTTAATAGTTGCATAGTAGTGCAATAGTTGTATAGATATAATATGAAAAGTAAAATTGTTTTCATTCATTACACCTAAACTCTGGAGAATCATGAAGTAATTGCCTTTTAAATAACTGTCTAACATACCACTATGTACATCATAAGCTGCAGATAATTGAAATCTGATAAGTTTCGATAATAATACATCAACAATGTACATATTTTGTCATACTCAAAAAAATGAAAAACATATAATATAGCAATTTACTTTATTTTAAATAATAGTCAATTTAAATATGATATAAATTATATTACTTTGAAATTTTAAATTTAAATACAGTGGTGTTCAAATTTCAAATTGAAAGTAAATATGTTTAAACTAAGTACTTAATAAATAAAAAAACCAAATAGTTATTATAATAATAAAAAAATAAATTATACTATTTATACAAAATATTAACAGTTTGTAAAACTATTTATGTTTTAATACTTAGAAATTATATGATTATACAACCATGCAATATTATTGTGATACATACATTTTATTTTCAATGTACATAAAATGTATAGAAAACATAATCAAATGCAATACATTTTTATTTGTTGTTAAATATACTTCAAGAATGTCAGATAAAAAAAACGATCAACTCATTTAGTGAATGGCATACATGAAATATTAAAATATTATCAACCATTAATATTGAATATTATCAGATATTTATACAAGTAGATTATTAAATTATAACACACATTTTACTACAAAAATGTATGCACATAATTATATTTTAAACATTTGGTTCCAGTATTAATATCATAAAAATGTTCTTATAAGTGTAAGTATTAAATATATATTTTTACATTCACTGGCCAATTTATAATTTTTACTTCGCGTTTAATACAATTATTATTTTTCTTCTTCTGATGTTTCATCTGAAATAAATTTTAAGTAAGATTTTCATTATACATGAAAAAACCCATTTCAAAATATCATACAAATAAAATAATGATCTTTACAAATCAATAATTAAGTAAATAATGATAAATAGTATTAAAATACTTGTAAATTAAATTACCAATCATGTTTACAGTAGCTATAATATTATTTGTTCTACTTTAAATGAATACATTAAAATATTCAATTATAATATATAAATATAATATCAAGAATTAAAAATATTACCTTCAGCAAAATTAATACGATTTGTTTTTATTGGCATATTGGTCTTATTACCGAAGTTAAAACGTATTTTAGATGGCTTCATTAAAATATTTACTTTAGGTAGTTCAGGTTGACTAAAATTAGTTGAAAATCCAAGTCCTCTTTTTTCATCCCTAACGTCCATTGGAATCTAAGAATAAAAAATACAAAAATATTGTAAATTCGTTGTGTCATATTTTAAAGGCGTCAGTCATAGACTATTGGACTATTGTTACAAATTTAAAACCCATTTATCAGAGAGCATTAACTTAATTTTATTATAAAACAGTTAAAGTTAAATAATACACATTTTCAAATGAATTAACTCAAAAAGTGTGATTACTCGATAAACTAAATAAAATAATCATTATGAAAACATATTTAAATTATTTTATGAAAATAGTGTTAAAATTAGAATGTTTCTAGACTCAAATAAATAATTAAATCGTTAAAACATTATAAATTGCAATATATAATAAATGTTATAATAAAGAAGATCCCAGGAAACTTGCCAACGGATAATTAGAATTTTATGCATAAATGTTTGCAAGATTTTGTAAATCTGAATATTTTATATCGAAGAAACATCTAAGCGAGTCTAGACCAAAATCATATTGGAGATCATTTAACATCTAATATAGTATTTATAACACCTGTACTTACAATTGTAATTGCTATTCATACTTAAAATGAATTAATATTTCTAGTTAAAATATAGATTAGACTGAAGGTGTATCATAAGTATGCAAAATTGCTATTTTCTTAATACATTTTTTAATTAGTTAGGATTAAACTTAATAAACAATAAAAAAATAAAATGTAGAAACCATTTAATCAAAATCGGAGAGACAGTTAAGGATTAGTAGTTTTATAGAATAATTTATTCATCCCCTTTTTTATTATATTAATTACTGTTAAACCTAAAATATGTAAATAATTCTGTTTTATTATTAACGTAGAACAATTCTGTTATTTACTAATTTTATTTTGTATAAACTATTAAAAGTACAATAACATATTGAATAATACTCACAGGTTCTTTAATTCCAGAATTGCTAGATCCCAGAGATTTTCCAGGAGTCCAGCCCATATTTTCTAATAGTTTGAAACCTTTGTTTTTTGTTGGAATTGGTCTAAAATAATATATTTAACTAAATTTAAATATTTGTACACATTAAAAATAAAATAAGAAATACCACAGGAAAAATAAAAATATTAAAATAAATTACATTATTTAAAAAAAAAAATTATAATCCAAACAAAAAATATATTTTCAGATAGGTTCTTTAGACAAATTATATGGTATTACATTTTACTTGCTATATAATAGTAGTATTGCATTAAATTCCACACATTTTTAAAATGTAGCTATACCAATCGAAATACATATATTTAAAATTTTAATTATACCCAACATTAAAATAATTTTAATTTAAAAAATTTAATATACTTTACAGGTTAAATTTAAGCTCTTTAATTTTACCTACCTCAAAACAGAAAATATGCTTGTATTATTATAAATTTCAGTGATTATATAGCACTCCAAATATAAAGTAAATCAAAGACTACTAAAAGTTACAGTAGTTTTAAGTTATTGTGCATTATTGAATTTCATGTTTCCTTAGTTATTTTTTTTTAAATATGGGTTTAATAAAATCATTTTAGTAATGATAAAATTTAATTTTAATACAAAATTATATTAAATATAGTTTTAATTAGTGTTCAAATAATAACTCACTGTGTTACACAAGCTACTTCAGTTTTCTCATTTGAATTCTGAGACCCAACTGTTTTTCTTCTTTTATCAGCTCTATCTTTATATCCTTTTGGCAAAACAGCATCTGGTGGCTCACAACCAAGTAAACCATATTTTTCTTTCAAACTTTTTAGTTCATCATCAAATTTTCTTTTTTGAGGTACAATATTCTTATTGCCTTAACACAATAATTAACAATTTCTTCAATTATGTATGTTTATAATTTAGAATATTTAGCTGAACATTTTTACAATATAATTCCATATCTACATTTAAATATAACACTATATAATATTTATTAATAAAATTAAAGTATTAAAATAGATCATTTATTATGCATATATATATTTATTTATTTTAAAATTCAAATAAATTTCTTACTATCAAAACCATCACGGAATAAATATTTTATCTGTTTAAATCTATACAAACATACACTTTGGAATCATGAACATGAACTTATTTAAATCAATTTTAATTAAATAAATAATAACACATGGCTACAATAAAAAATAAACAATGATTTATCTTCAATTAGTAAATAAATAAATAGTATTTGATCAATTGTTATACTTTTACAGTTAAAGTATCTTTAACTGGCACTTACAGACCTAAAATTATCTATTCTAAAAATTCTCATTTCATTAACACAAAAAGTATTAATATTTAGTAATAATAAAAAAAAAATAAGAATTTACTTACTTTCTTCTACTGGAGGAGCTTGTATCCCAGGTTCACATAAATTGCATGTTTCCATGCCATCATGAATATGACACAAAAACTTGGTATCACCTACAGTAATTTCACTGCCATGAATCAATTGACAACGTTCGCTGGATGATGAGTGCTTTGGAAGCTTTTTGCCATCCAAAAATGTACCATTTGTACTACCTTTATCTTTAATAATATAATGACCTCGGCCTACTTTGTTTACATTACCAACAAATGATATTTCAGCATGAAACTAAAAGTTTAAAAATATCATTAAATTATAAAAAAAATAATTAAAATCAATTTAAAATGTTAATATTATTTATAAATGTACAGAAAATTAAGAAAAATTATTTATCATTCCTAACCTTGCTAACATTATCATCAGGTATTACTACATCTCTGTTTGTAGAACGACCAATTGATCCACCAGGACATGTGATTAAAAATAGCTTACCAATTAATGAATTACATGCTTTAGATTCAGTTATTATAATACGTATACATGGAGGCCAACCAACAACTTCTACATTTATAAAATTAAAATAAGACTTAATATATTATATTATCTCACAAAAAATACTAAAAAAATGATATACTTGATTTAATTAATTTAGTTTGAGTGTCAGAAAGATGAGCTTTGACTTCTTTATACGATTTCCAATTGGAATTTTTATCATCTCTTTTGTTTAGACATAGGTATTGTTCAATTCGATCCCATATAAGATTATCATACTGAACAATTTCAGATTCGATTCCAGTAAGTTGATGCTTGAGTGTGTACCAGTTTCTTATTTGTGCATATTGTTTTGCTTTACTCTGCAAATTACGTAAGTTAGTTGTTGTGCCAATTTTTCAAATGGCTTACCAGTCTGGTTTACCCCATCAGGTGTTAATTTGTGTACTATATTCTTAGGTGCTGGCAATAACTTTGTATATTGCAATAAATTCAAATAACGCTTGTCTAATATCTAAAATCACAATGAAACATGAAATACCCATTATAATAAATTTTATTTCTAACAAATTAATAATAAATGATTACTTCACAAGTAGTAGGCGGAGGAGGACAATGTTCGGACTTCACTTCTTCTGAAATATCTTTTGTATCACTATTTTCCACACTTGATTCTTGTTTTATTTCATCCTTCTCTTTCGAAAATTTTTCAGGCATTTTTTCAACAGTATTCAAAACAATTTCTTTAATTTCTTTATCATTTTTTTCATTATCTTCTTCGGTATCCTCTTTTATAACTAAATTTCCACTGTCTTCAGAATTGTCAGAATCACTATCCTCACTAATACTTTCAGGCATATCTTGGTTTTTGTGCTGTTTATCTGCTTTAGGTACATTGGAAGATAACTGATGTATATCTGTATGAACTTGGGAATGCAATCTATATTTTTGTGCAATTACATCAAAGTAATAATAGCACCCTTGATTACCATCATAAAATAATCCATTATCCTAGAATTACAAAATATATATACTTACATATAATGCACAAAATTGACAAATAATTTAATAATACTTACTAAATTATAATAGTAACCGGTAACTTGGTCATAGTACATTCCAGTTGTTTCTTCTAATATAAATCGGCTTTTTCCTAAGCAATATTGATCAATTTGATTTAAATCTTTGTTTTTTTCTTCATCTTCACTACACTCTCCTTCTTCTTTAATTTCAGTTTTTGTAATTTTGAAACTTTCATCATCTTGTTTTTTACATTTTTTATTATTATTGGCCAAATGTTCAACCTATATCAATGATAAATAATTAATATTACTTCAGTAAAAAAACAGACTAAGAATTGATAATTAATTTCTAAATTTGTTTATAATAAAACATAATATACCTACATTATCTAGAGCATCAGCAGAATTTTCATTGGAACTGTTTTTGACATCTATATCATCTTTAATAATGTTTTGTTCACTTTTGACATTCTCTATTTTTCTGTCACTTCTGGCGTTCGATTTCTACACAATAAAATATCATTAAAACACCATTTCTGACCATAATGGGTTTGGGATTACTGTATTACCTTACTGTCGGTCAAACTGCTGTTGGTGATTTTCGCCAGCAAACTTTGTTGCCGATGAAGCATACGAACAGCGTTCTTAATGTACTCGTAGACTTCTGGATATTTGTGTTCCAGGAGACTTCTAAAAGGTATTTCCGGATCACTGTCCATTGCGGCGGGGGTCGTCGGTCGGTTGGTACGAATCGTCGAGACCGTCACATTTCACTCGCGAGAAGCGCGCAGAGTCGGTTACCGTTTAGGGTGGCGTAAAGCAACGGGGCACGTCCGAAGAGCAAAACGAATCGTCACGTGGTACCGAGAACCCAAACGGGGAACTTTCTTCGACAATCGGTTTCGCGGCGAGCACAGGAGCAGCAGTGTTGTGGTAGCAGACCTCTTTCCCGCGGTGCGTTCGCGGCATGGAAAAAAAAAAAAGAAACGACGTACGCGTACAGCTTGAAAATTTCAACGCATCAGGTAGACATAACGCGATGGCCGACGACGATGAGTGCACGAGCGAATTGTGCGTGCTCTTTGAATTTTTGATAACTGCTGTTCAGTTCAGCGATTAACGTTCACTCGGAAAACGACAACACAGATAATGGCGGAATACAAATTCGAGTTTGCATTATCTACGGAGAAAACTGAACGCACGCACCAATAATGTGGATCGCCGAAATAACAGCTGACGCGCAAGCGTTTGGAACCCCTGTTCGGCGGACGGTGTGAAACCTTCAATGTTAATGATAACGACTCGAAAATCATTTTATTTTTCATTGCTGTTGCTGTCTCGGAGTTTTGAATTTTCTTTAATAAAATAATCTCGTCTCGCGCCTCCTCCACACTGCAGAGTTACACGCCCAATCATAATGGTCACCAAGTCCCTCGAGTTGCCCACGTTCGAGGAGTTGACTGTCGAAGAAGTTCCGATCAGTTCGCCTGGTCTCCGTGCCGCTTCCAATCATTTTGGTATTTATTTTTTTTTTATTTTTCACCGTTCTGAACGTGCTCTTTAGCATTCGGTTTTTTGTCCAGGAAAATATTGTCTGGAAGTGAACGATGAATTCATGATGTGCAAAATAGAAACAGATGATCCGCGTAAATGTATCAACGAAGGAAAGGCCGTCACCAATTGTGCGCTTGAATTCTTCAGGAAGTTGAAAGTCAACTGTTATGATGAATTTCAGATTTATAGCAATTGTATTGATAAATCTAGCACTCGCTTAGATTTTGAACCGTGCCGTAAGACTCAAGCTGTATACGACAAATGCGTGTTTGAAAAAATGGGCATTGAACGACCCGAACATGGTTTCTTTTGTAAAGCACGCGTTTATACTGGCAACCGACCTAAACCTCCACCTGCAGAACCACAAGTATTCAGTGATTTACCAGTCGGTCTTAAAGACTTCAATGAAGAAGAACGGCCACCAGCAAAATATGGTCAACGTAACTGGTTTATCAAGTAATCTAACTGTATGCTTAATTTACAGTTGCATATTATTAGTGTTTGTTATTTAAAAACAATTGATATGAGATAATATTTTATTGTATTTTCATTAAATTTTCCCATTGTAGAGAATTGTAATAAATCTGAAAGTATAAACATTTTGTACAAACAAAGAAATGTATTGTTTATAACATACATTATAATATATTATAATACACATAATTGTTATGATTGTGTATGTAGTAATAATCTAATGCATGTCATGAAGTTATATACAAGTATTAATTACATTATACAAAACAATATTTTATACAAATTATCTACTGTAAAGGTGTATTTGAAATATCTAAAAAGTTAAATGTCAACTCGACTGGACGAACTGACCCAAAAAAGTCAGTGATAGGAACTTTTGCAGGGTCTCTGTGAAACAAGTCTGTTCTCACTCCGACAGTTGAAATACAATCTTGTTTGGGACATACACCAAGCTGAAACAAAATAAATTGTATAAGTCATAAATGAATATAAATAAAATAATAGATTTCAATATAATATATGATTCATGGAAATAATTATTTATTATATTTTTAATTATATATAAAATATATATAATATATAAAATAACAGTTACAAAACTGAGTTGACAGTTCATTATTAACTTAAAAAATATCATAATTTTATAATGAGCAAAACAATTACAATTAAATGTAAGAAAACGTTCCCTTTATGATTTATTAAATTATCGTTCTTAATTTTTCTTTTTTTTTTTTTATTCAAACAACAAAATATGAGTATAGTTTATATAAACTATGCATTAAATATATGTGTAAAATAAAAATTACTTACAAAATTTTTCATGCTGATACGGCTCTTTAATTTAACATTCTCTAAAAATTTTAACGCATAAAATGTGTAACGATCTATTATATACACACCAATTGCTGGATCCACATGATGCTGAAATTTAGAAAAAATTAATTAGATTTTTGATGTTTCTACAAAATATAAATAATATACTGTTACATTTTAGATATAACATTTATAACATTTAGAATGTTAATTATTCAATCCAAGTCAATAATCTGAATGTCAAATATTTGAGAAATTAAGGAAACCAAAAATGTATTATCATTGTATATTTTATAAATATTTTGAATTATTGACTTTTAGGTAATGAAATTTTGACATTCATATGTTATTTAATTAACTTACCGAAAGTGAATCTTCACCCACTAAACTACTAGCCATTGCTAGAATATTTGGTGAGTAAAATTTTTCATACATAGAAGAAGCTTGACAAGTATCAATCATGAAAAATATTTCATGGTATCTAAAAATTAATTAAATTAATTTTAATTTACAATGATTAAATTTAAGTTTTCAAAATCACCTTCTTTTCTGCCACATCTGTTCAAGTGCATCGGCCAACTCTTGACTAGTTACTTCTTCAGAATCTTGGAATTTAAGAAACCCATCTCCACCATGGCCAGTCAGATATATCAAAATATTGCTACCCTCGTCTGTAAGCAACTGTTTGGAACGAGGTGTATCAGGAGGCAACCGACCAGTCAATAACCTTACAAAATTTTCCACTGTTACCTAATCATTTAAAAGTTAAAATCAATAACAAAATATATGTACTAAAATAGTGAATAGAAGTTTACTTCATAGCCTCTAAAATCAACTTCGACATCGTCACCATATACATTGAGCTGTTGATCAGCATTATTGTAAACTGTTGCAGGACTAGGATTACGAGGATTACAGGCCATATCATCAGCTACCATCAATATTATTTGACTAAATAAATTAATAACTATTTAATAATATGAACATTAAATAGTTTGAAATTTTATTACAACTGAAATTATTTAGTTGCATTTATTCTAAAAATAGTATATCATACCTATCAGGTATTCCAAGTCTTTTGACGCTTCTGTAAATAGATAGAACATTTGCTACATGCCTATAATTAAACCAGAATCTCGATGTATCTACCAAAACTGCCCAATTGTTTGAATGATTTGCCTAAGAAAAATAATTGAACACTGATATTATCAATGATGTACAATAGTGTTTCGATTTATCAAGAAGACCAATGAAATTCTTGAAAAATCAAATTCATCTATAGATTTTTTATACATGATTAAAATGAAAAAAATAGTTAACTGTACTTTATGAATTATTTGATTAATTTAAAATACCCAGAACAATTTCATTAAAAATTATAGATGAACACATTGTAAAAACAGTGGCTATTACATTTAGGCGAATTATTTGTTTTAATCATACATTTATTTAGTCAATCTACACAAGTTATATAATTAATGTCTTCTAAATATTAATTATACAGAAAAGTTTTCATAATTATAACTTATGATTGTTTAAAATATTTTTAGGACTTTTTCAAAGAATAATCTGTATTATCACTCACCCTAATATAAAGTCAAAAAAAACAATGTTTAAATAACTTGCATAAAAAAATAAAATTTTATTCCATTTATTTTTTTAGGGGGAGGGAGGGTTGCCAACTGAGAACGTTACTAATTTATGCTAAAAAGTAAATCGGTTCCAACAATTTGATAGGACTTAATATCAAAAATATGCACTACATTTAAGTTTTAAATGTTAAAATGCAGGCTTACCTGACATACGAAGACATTCGAAAAGTGCAAACACGTCAACGTCAATAATAAACATGGCTTCATAGTGAATATTTATTAAACAAAACAAACTCCAGTGTCAAGCGAGTCAATAAATTAAAAATTTGTTGTTTACCATACAGATTTTAATGTAGCCCCAAATTATTAAAACTGTTATCAATGTGCCGGTTATCCGATAAACATTGATATCGGGATAGACCTTATAAGTATCATGATTATAGATATTTTGGAAGTTCAAAACTATCCATTAAAAAAAGAATGTTGTGGTAAGGAAACATTTTTTTTTTAATTTATATATTTATTTATTCAATCTGTAAATTAATATTTTTACAATGAGCATAATTGATGTGAGAGTAGTGGTCGAATTGCAGTCTTGATTGAAAAATCCATCCAGTGATAAAACTTCATGACCGTGGGCATTTTTAATAATTTAAAAAGTCCCGGCACTATTTCTGTTTCAAACGCCTTCTGGGATTACCTGGGATGTTGAGAACATTTAAGTTTGAAACAAGAGGATTGCGATATTTAGATAGGTTTGAGTGAAAAAAATGTATAGAGGGTTTTAGCTACTTCTACTGTTGGAATGGTGAGATCATTGTGGAATGTGTCATTTGAGACAAAGAAAGGAGCTTTGATAATTTTACAGATACATTTAGATTGGAACGTTTGGACTTTATTTGCATTTTTTTGATTTTTTTCGGTAATGAGGCTTGAGATAAGAGTAGTTTGAAAAGAAATAAGAAAGCTTCTGTTCGATTTAAATTCTTCAATGAATTTAAAAAATAATATTTCATTATTCATTGGAGTGAGATTGCTATTGGGAAGATGGTGATCTCCAGCTACATTTGCATACGTATGTTGGTTTTGACGGATGTTCTTAGAACATCCATCAAAACCAACAGAACATTGTTCTGTAGTTGGTTGTTGATGAAGAGCTTGATCTCTAGTTGTAGATTAATTTTCTGTAGTAATCAGAATTATTTGTTTGTTTTTTCAGATAATATAAAATGGATCTGCAGGTAAAACTATCTAAGCCTATATAGTTTATGAAACTGTCCGGCTAGAATTGAATTTGGTCCACTGTGTGGCGGTTGATCGGATTCGTATAATTCGGTACTTAACCGATAAAACGTATAGTGTGATCCAAGCCTAAAAACACATTGTTCTATTTGTACAAATAACCAGCGTAGACTACCTTTTTATAATATAACGAAAATATAAATGCAATTCATCGGTAGTACATCATTAGTTTTTGTAAGTCACAGAGGTTGAAATTTAATAAGAATCATTCTAGGTAATTTTCGTACGAGTTCACAAAACTACAATCTGTAGAGAAAAGAGCCACATATATCATACAAGAATAATTCGTTTCTTTCAAAAATATTTTTCCGTTGCAGGCATAAAGGGATAATATTATTATTATATAATATTTTAATTATTGTTATACTAGGAAATGTATTTCAATAAGAATAACATGTTGAACGATGCAAAACGACACAGTGCCTGCGTAAGACCGGCCGCATATTCGGTGTACTTGAACACTAGACACGGGCGAGCACTCGACTGACCACCTCTCACCAGGGCTCTAGTACGTACAAAATCCGGGCCCGTTGGCCGGCTGAGCGGGCACTCCTCTACGTTTCATCCTGCAAGTGTGCTCCTCCAGCCTAAGCCTGGCTTCCGTGTAGTTAGTGACTTGCGACCAGAGGACCTCGGCCACCGCGCTGGCTCTCGGCCACGACAGCGGCAACACGTTCGTCTCGTCCACGAACTCGCCCCACACGCACGCCTCACCACCCAATAGCAAATTGTTCCGGTCGACGATGTCGCTCAGGTCGCAGTTGTAGAAACTCGACCAGTCCGACCCGTACTTTATGTAGTTCAAGTACCAGCAACTGGATATCAGAACCGCATACCCGGAATCTATCACCTGGAGATTAGCAAAGAATAAATTGTTTAACGTTTAGGACTGGAAAGATTTTTGTTTTAATTTTTCGTCACCCTCCCCACGCATACAAGCTACGATGCGACTACGCACGTGACGTATAATTTACGTACTCGAGTAGGTTGTCCGATTGGCCGCGTGTACGTTTAAAGATTTTTAATAAAAAAATTAAAATACCATTTTTTCTTCTATTAACACGTTTGAAACAACGAATTATTTAAAATATTTTTAATGGCCATAAGTTTTATATTGATAACTGATGCAGATCTATTAGCGTAAAGTGCTTTTCGAGACAATGTTCACATTAAAATTTTCGCAATACTATAACAAATATAAGTACTATTGTTTTACAATAGTCGAAAATTATTGCTGAAGTTTTGTTATAAACTCCTTATTTTCACATTTTTTCCTTTCTTATTTTAAATTAATATACAAGTGTGTCGTGTACGACCAATAATATAGATAGTAAAAATGTTATATGTGACTATAATATAATTACCTCTTGCACAAGTGAACTAAAATTGTTCGGTTTCCAAATTTGTACAACGACATTATGATCTAGATGAATATTGTCGGAGAACAATTCTTCCCATACGATAGGAACAGTCTTTAACTCTCGAGTTATATTAAATATGTGTTTGAAATAATAATCTTCTAACCCTTCGACGTTACTTATATTATTCAATGTCATAAATGTTTGTAATTTTTTGCTATTATTCCTATCGACAAAAGTATACAAAATACGTATAACATTTGCATAAAATAAAACATTATACGTACACCATTCATATATATATATATATATATACAGTAACGTAGTTCAGATTTTTAAATGGGAGGGACTAAACACTTTTTTTAGCAGGTTAGGTAAAAGAGGATTTGAGAGTTCACCTTTTACCCTCCCCTCACACCACCAAATTCATAAATAATTTCCAGCATTTTAAAATAGTTTTATTATATATATATATTAAAATATAATTTACTATAGTAAATAATTAACGGTGTCAGCTACAGTAGCCAGAGTTGGGCGTTAGTCGAATAAAATATTATTCGATTGATTATTTGAATAAAAAATTATTCTTCATCGATTTATTCTTAATTTTATTATTGATTTTTATTTTTATTCATTATTTTAATTTGTATTATTATTCATTATTCATTATTCGGAAATTTTTATTTACTATATTTTATTCATTATTCAGTTATTCGTTATTCCCTATAATCATACAAATAATAAATTTAAATCCTAAATAACGATGTATAATAATAATAGACTTAAATAATATATATATAGATAATACATATTAATACATATAATAATTGACAAAAATAAATTAAATATACTTCTATATTTAATATCATTCATGATTTTGACGAATACATTTATTCTGAATAATTATTTTATTCACGAATAAAACTATTCAAAATAATTTTATTCTTTATTCAGTATACCACAATTATTCAGAATAAAAAATTATTCTTTATTCATAAATAAATTAGTTATTCATGCTTTTATTTTTTATTCTTTATTTTGATTTGTTTTCGCCCAACTCTAACAGTAGCATCGCCACGACATAATATGGTATAAGAATTATAGTTATAGTAAAATTGTCACGATTGTAATTACGACCGCGTCAACAACTTTCGTCGTCCGCGAGGTCGCACCCGTGAATTGGTTCGATACAACGGCGGCTACGCGCCACGATGGGGCGAGGTGTGTTGAAGCAACCCAGCGAAACGCATCGGGAATAAAAATAATTTTTCTTCTTTTAAAAAAGTATAAATTGTGATACTCTTAGGAGTGTGTAAATTTTCGCACTCGTGATGTTAAAGTAATCAATATTTCAAAAACTTAAAATTTAAATCCGAATAATGTAACCTGAAATGCAAAATCCGTATTTTTTTTTAATTTTTGAAGAATCCGAATTTTTTTTACATCACTAATTACGATATACTTCTTATATAAAAGAAATATATTTATTTACCAATATACCTACAAATTTTTTTACACACTTCATATGCAACATTGAATTTGAAAATACTAGTTCAAATATTGACTAAGCAACACCAACAATTGAAAGAAATTTAGCTGTATAATTATTTGTGGAAAAAATAGTGTCAGGGATTGAAAAACAAGAGTTGATATTGCCACAGAATGCTCATAAAAAAGTTCAAAAAATCCTTGTATTGGAAATTATAACCTTGTATATACTCGCGATTTTAGATACAAGATAACGAACGGCCTTGACGTAGTGTACATTCACGAAAAGTCCACCGCCACCGAGAGATCGTTTCGTACGCATTATTATAAAAATAATGCTATAAATTATTTGAATTATTATTTCACGATCACCAAGACGTACACTATTTGCTTAATCAAATGTATTAATTGTTATACTGGCTTTAATTATATTATCGACAGGGCTCGGAAGTTGTGGAACTAAAAATGGTAATTTTTAGCTCCTTAATAAGCACTAAAAAACTCCAAAATATGCGCTATAAATAGCACGAAAAATCAAAAAAATATGCATTTAACTTGAAAAAATTATAATTATAAATTTATTACAAAAAAAAAATTAAATGTTATTATTCATGACAAAAAAAAATTAAACGTTATTATTTATTAATAATTACATTTGTCAATTACTATACTGTTATATAATTATTATACTGTTTTATAAAACGTTTATGTTCATTGACGGTTCAGAGACTGGCTGGACTGGTTGAATTAAAACTGTTAACAAACATGTTATTATTTAATTATGTGTGCTTATAATTAAATTAATTCATATATTTACCCTGGATTATTAAATGTTTTCGTAAATTTTCGAATTTGAAAGATCAACTGCAGTTATTTGATAGTACAGTCTTGTAAGTAGAAAATGACCTCTCAACGTCAACAGACGTTATTGGTGCGTACTTATAAAATACCAAGTCATTACAGTTTAGATCTTCAGGTAGCCCGTCTAGATTTTCAGATATTTCTTCATCCGTTAAAATATTAGATATTTTTATTAATGCCGACAATCCATGATTTTTTTCAAGAACTTGGTGTAACTTTTTGTTCACAGCTTTCCCATTCTGATCCCTCAAAGTTTCAAAGCTTCTTTTTATATATTGAACTACTTTAATTGACTCGGAAAATGGTATATTTTGCTGTTGTAAATTATCAATAGCCATAGTTAATTTAACAAAATTTGATTTAATGTACGTAAGATTATTTTTTAAACCAGGTTTTACAATATAATGTTGTTCATCTCTTATACTGATTGCTTCATTTTTATCTAACATAAAAATAACATGGTGTATAATCTTGAAATGTTCACAATAATATACAGCGGCATTAATCCAACTTCCCCAGCGGGTGAGAATTGATTGGTTCTGGGGGTAATCTTATGTTTGGTGCTTCTGTTTTAAATAGTAGTAAACGACTTGGTGCTTTTCTAAATATTATTTTCACACACGAAATGATTTTGTCGACAGTACTAAATTGACCTCTTACTTCTTCCGCGACCCTGTGGAGCCCATGAACTGCACATGTTACGTGAATCATTTTTGAATAAAACGATTTCAGAACTTCACCCGCTTTGACCATGTAAGGTGCGGCATCGGATAAAAACAAAAGCACGTTATCATGGTGGATACCACCTGGCCATAGTATATTCATTGATTTATCAAATAGTTTACATATGGTAGAATGGTTAGATTTATCCAACTCATCAGAATTAAGTAAAAAAATTTCACCTGAACGATGTTCTTCAAGAGTACCAACATTTACATTTGCGATGAAACGACCGTCGATATCAGTGGTCTCGTCAATACTGACCCAAATCATTTTGTTGGAAATTTTTTTCTCTGATAGCATTCAAGGTCTCCGTGTAAATATCGTCTACATATCCTTTGCATAATGTGGCCTCACAGGGAATTTAATTTTTTGTATATGTTTCTAAAAATGTTTTAAATTTTGCGTTTGATAGTTTATTTAACGGAATGTTTGCGGAAATTAGAGCTTCACACAAATCTTTATTCAATGATGATTTTTTAGAGATATTAACAGTCATTAATTGTTGTTGTTTTCTTTGTGTTTGTTCTTTACATCGATTAATGCCCTTGAGATGTTTGTCAGTTTTTAAATGTTGAGACATGTTATATTTTTTATTAGAATTTACTTTTGTTTCACAAATTTTATAAAATAAAATACTCGAATCAATTTAAAAAATATCGGAACCAAATTCATCAACATAACAACGAAGGCGATTTAATAATGTTTTAATTGATTTTTTTAATTGATATTAAAATACGTATTTAGATTTACGATTTAATTCACGACGACAACGTTCGACAACGACGGAATCGGGAGTACTAAAATTAAAACTATAAAGGATAAAGTATATACTATACAGACATATCAGTGTATTTAATTGTATTGATAATCTATTGCAATGATACAATAAGGGAATAACACTGACGTCACGAACTATTAATACATCGGACCGTCGATGAATTGTAGAACGGTGAAAACATGAAATATTATTCGCTTTATTTCCAATAATTTGAATATTTTTTAAAAAAAAAACCAAATAAAATCATTATTTTCATCTAAATGTGGATATTTTCCAAATTATCAGATAATATACCCAAAAATAGCACTAAAAACCTTAAAATGGCAAAATAGCAATAAAAATCATAAAAATGCAAAATATGGCAAAATAAAATTTTGTGTATGACATCAGATAAGTGTGAAACTTATTTGTATCTTACTTTGGGTGTTCTAGGACAAACCAAAAAAAATATGCATTTGCCACAACTTCCGAGCCCTGGTTATCGTATATTCGTTGCTATACAAACGAGAAGCAATTCAATAACGGCAGATTTTGAAACCCATTTCATTCTCTATACCAAAATTATTTAGTAAAATTTGATTTTCTACCTACACTGTACAGTTTTGACGATGAATCGAGTTCAACAGACGACAACTTTACTTCGAGCACAAACAAAAATGTTAAAGAAGTCAAATCTAAAACGCTTGAAAACAAACTTAAGAAATCTAGGAATATCTCAGGAGTAAGTTTGCTAACTGCTTATATTTTTAATCATCATTTTAAATTTTAATATATGCCTTAATAATTTAGAGCATTCTGTAGCATTAATTCCGAAATAAAGCATACATATGTTATAAAATGTATAACATATGTATTATAACTTATAATATATGAAATGACAGCTAAAACGTATTCGCCTCTAAACAATTATCCCTATAATCATTTATGTCAGAAATGGTACAAGAAATTAGTCTAAAATATTTAATTTTTTTTTAAGAGCTTTAAAGATTTTTTATATTTGTCTATAAATTTAAAAAAATCGAACCTCATTTCAATGAGCACGGAGTGCGATAAATGGTTATTAGTCATTCAATTTGGCGAAATTTTTTTCCGACTTTTGTACTCGATATTTATGCACGACATTTTGAGATAAATATTTCGCTTCAGAATACGAAACATAACATATACTTGTATACCTATCCATTTTAAAAAGTTAAACTTATAATATTTAATAAGACTATAAGTAGTAGAAAATCAATGTATTGTAGAAATATAGTACATGTAACGGATTCAATATTAAAAATACATTAATTGACTGAGATGATGAATGATAAAAAAACCATCAAAATACAGTTTATAATAATGATAATAATAATTGCGCATAATTATCAAACAGACAGACCGAAAATTTCCTGGTGATGACCTACCAAATAATTAATGACTTAGAATCGATTGGTGGACGTACGAAAAATCGAATTACGCCCGACAACCGGCAATTCGTCAGGACCGTGGAGTTCATTAGAATGATTTCCGACACCGTTGCCAGAAATATTTTAAACGCGATATGTGAAAAACCACCACAGTCGGATGAATCTGACAATAGCCCAGCTAAGAGAATGCTCCACGACCTTATGGCGATCAACAACGGTGGAGCGGACGGAAATCCAAAGGACAGCACTCGCGTCCCAGACATTCAGATGGGCGTGGCGAACGCTATCGTCGAGATCTTGACCACCGCCGAGAAGGGTTCATTAACGGAACTCAAAGTCAAAATGAATCCCCCTATTCGCGTGAATCCTGTTTCCAAGGCCAAATCGTTGGAAAACAATACGGTTGACGATAGAAAACGATTTGTCCGGGTCCATAACAAAAAATTATTTCGTCGTAATGCCGATGAAATACGTAGAAATATTTGTCCTGGTAAGTACACGGCGACAGGCTCGTGCGCAAAGGAACCCCCCCCCCCTTTACCATACGCGCACACAATCACCAAAATAATATAAATCGTGTTTTTCATTTTTGATCGAATATATTAAATATTTTATTAACTTATTTGTAATGATGCATAACATATTCCATAATATGGTACACCATTATTATAGTCTCATCGTCAGATTTACTGTTTTTCGAATTTTGTCGTAATATAAATGTGAATATCAACAAAAGCATGGACCGAATTATTTTCGACCCCTTGTCGGGTAATTTTATAACAACAGTGATTTGTATTTTAAAGTATTGATAATAAAATAACTTTTAATGCACTTATACAATTAGTAAAAAATATATAATACTATTTATGAATTATTAATGAATCAATCTTATACATTTTTTATCAAACCTCCACCAATTATGAAACTTTGCGTACGGGCCTGCCATACAATAATGTATTAACACGTTTTCGGAAACTCTATCGTAACTCATCATCCATCTCTTTAGGTCTGTATTTAAAAGAACGCGATAAAATACCGAAACTCGATCGTTCTCGAGTCCAAATGTCTGTCGTAACTAAACCGGATGCAAATAAGCAACAAAACGTACCGACCAGTGAGACTAAAAATGATCAAATCATAATAGCCGTGCAACCAAACAAAATTCAAAAAGACAATACAAATAAGTTACACGTAGACAAATTGTCGCAAAAAGTGAACGATCAAACAAAAAAGACAACAATTGTAACCACGAAATTGAAGAAAAATGTTATGAGTAGTAAAAAAGAAATAGAAAAAGTCAGATCAAAAAATAATGCTTAGTTTAAATCGTTTATTGTGTGTTGTAGCTAAACCTGATGTGAATGAGCAAAAAGATGTAATAGCAAACGATGTAAAAAACGACACATCGAACGTTAACAAATCAACAAGTGTAAAACTTAAACCGAACAAAATTCAAAAAGAAAATACGAATAAGTCACCCGCATATAAAATACCGCAAAATGATCAAACGAATAAAACAAAAGTTAAAACTGTAAATTCGAAGCAAAATATTATAAATAGTAAGAAAAAAATACAAAAAATTCGATGAATAAATAATGATTAGATTGAATCTTTTTGGTGTTTATTGTAGCTAAACCAGACACGAAGAAAGATGTACCATCGGATCAAATAAAAAACAATAAATCTAAAATAAACGCTGAAGAATTTAAAGGTGTAAATCCAAAATTGAACAAGTTTGATATTGGCAACACAAAGTTACCAGACAAAAAACAACAAAATGGGAATGATCAAGCAGATAAAATAAAAGTTGAAGCCGTTAAAAATTCAATAAGAAATAGGAACACAGAAGGGAAAGTACAACTAGGAAATAACAATAAGAAAAAACCAATTGATATGACTAAAGCTAATACGGAAAAGCAAGTTGTACCACCTAGTGAAGTAAAAAACGAAAAATCAAAAGTAAAAACCGAAAAATTAGCTGGTGTAAAACCAAAGTTGGACAAAATTCAAAACAATACAAATTTAGCTTACAAAAATCCGCAATTTATGAACAATCAAGCGGATAGAAATGTAACGAAAATCAAGAAAAAAGATGACACAACGCAACAGAAAAATGTTTCTAAGAAAAAATCGGTAATAAAAAATTCGAACATATCCATGGCTAAATCGAAAATTGATAAATCGTATAATATCGATAGCGGTAAAAGAGACAAAAGCGAACAACGCGATCAAGGATCGTCATCAGACAATGCGAAAAATGCAAGCGAAACCGAAAAATCATCTGAACCATCATCGTTGAAAGAAAATAGTAATCAGGATAATCTGGAATTGGTGACCGAGCAGCCTGTGGAAATAAATGGACCAAATTTAATGGCAGCAGTAAAAGAAGTAACCGATGGAGACGTGCAAGATAATACAATGCAAGATCACAAAGAGTCAAGTGGTGGTGGAACCAAGGATATGGACCAACCTGAACAAACCGATGATAAAAATGAAACGGCACATCATGAAGATAAATTGCAGGATGAAAATTACAGTGAGATATCATGGGAGTTTTGGGCAAACCATTAGGGTGGACAGAGGGCGAGTTATTTTGTTTTTGATGATAACTTCAGGGCCGTTTCTAGGAAGGAGGCAACGGAACCATTTTGTCCCAGGCTCAGCCTAGGAAAATTTAAAAGGGGCTCCTTTAAAGTCCAGATTGATTTGAAATAATCAGCGTAACCTATAAAAGATTATTGTTGTATTGTTGAGAAGTTATTAAAAATGTAATTCATTCTATCGATACATTTAAATAACTGATTGGTTGAGGTTTAGAAAACTATATTTACTAATATTTTGCAAACTTGGCTAGTATTTTTTTTTATCATACTCTTATATTATTGTGATAATTGAGAGGTCCCCGAATTAATTTGCCCTAAGAATCCTTAGGACGGTTCTGGAAAACTTGATCGGTATCCTCAAAAACTAAATATATATTTTATTTACACACACAAATGCGGTGGTATGCAGTATTGTTACATGCATTATTTGTACATATAAACCAGCGGTATTGATGCAGTATTAAAGTTGAAGGCACATCTGTTAAATTCTTATTTTCTGTAGGTTGTTAATTCGTATCAAAAGATAAATTATAAAGAAACAAATGTCAGTTTGGCGTCCCTTTTTTGCTGGCGCCCTGGGCAATCGCCCAGGTCGCCTATAGCTTTCGCCGGCCCTGGCGATACATCCTAATACTCGTGGCAGAACGATTGGATTTTTATTTACATTTTACGTTTAAACTATATTCGTCTGTTGGTTTTCAGTACGTAGTTATTTGTAACATAGAAACATAGTAACATAGTTTATGATTGTTGATATTTTGACATACGTTCATATTCATAATAGCCATGATTTAGATTTCTTAATTTATTTTTATTTACCATCATATGAGTATTTAATATTGATTCAGACTTGTCCATATAAAAAAATAGTTACCAAAATATTAATACATTATTTACTTATTAAGATTTAATTTATTTAGTATTCTAATTGTAAGTATATTGTACAAGTTAACGAATTATGAAATTATAGTTTATTATTTAAAGTCGATAAGTTTATAAACAGAGAATTTAATACACATAACGGGCTTTCTTTACTTTTTTTTTGACATAAATGCAGATTTAAAAAAAAACCATTGCTATACTAACATAAGTCATCATTGTTTGATATCAAAATTCGTGGAGCCTATTGTGTTTATGAAATTTCCTATTAAACCTTTCGGGTTCTCTTTATCAGTTAAAATTGAATTTCAAACAAACACTAAAATAATTTAAAAATAATCAATATA